AAGATGTTGTTTAATTGTTGATATATTTATGATCCACGTCAAGTATTCAGTTTCGGCGGCATTTCTTCCAGTTTTTCCAAAGGTCTTCTCATCAGGGCTCTATAAATAAATTATTTTATTTTGAAATTCAGTTCCTGAAGAACGCCAAAAAAGCCTGAGATTATGGAATTAAACAAATAAATAAAAACAAGGATAATTGTGTGTTATTGGTGAGTAAATAACAGTGTGTTATTTTGAAAAGAATAACAAATTAGAAGGAAAAAAAGATTTAAAAAATACAGATTTCAGTATCCTGAGGCTCTCAGACCCATTTATTTTCCTCACAGACGGCAACAAAAGTCAGAAATTATACGATTTAAAATAAAAGCAATAATTGTGGCTAGATATTGAGTAAGAACATGCTTTTATGAACCACACAGCTTCCGGTCTTCCTATAACACGTAACTACCATTAGAAATACATTGCTTTTAAAATCGTGCTGTGCAACACGAAAAAAAGGGGAAAATCGTGTTGGTGAGCACGAATCAATAGATTAAAAATCGTGTTGGTGAACACGAAATGCCATGATGGGTTGAAATGGATGTTTTCAAAGTAAATGGATAATCTTTTTTAATAATCGTGATATCAATTATTGACCCAAATAATCGAGATTATGATTTTTGCCATAATCAAGCAGCCCTATGACGCAGTTTATATGAACAATATAAATATCTGTATTTTCGAGGAAATGGGCAATATGTTAATAAGTGAAATCTACATGTCACAAGCAAACAAGACTAGTTTAGGCTGGGTCAATGGTTGGAATGTGTTTGGTTTATTAGCCAAGTTGTTTTCATATTGTTAAATACTTGTTAAATAGTGTTATACTAATAGGATAGCTTTCTTCGATAGAGCAAAGATCAATGGTGTAGGTTCATCGCTCAGAGACTCAGTGACAGACTTCATGGGTCATGAGTGGGTTCCGTGGAGAATGTGAGGGTGGAGAGATGCAAAAACCGACATGGCTTTACGAGAGGAACATCAAACTATATTGATTTCAGTCATATGTTCTCATCCTATATCCCGTTTGAAAAACTATTGATATATAAAAGAAGTCGGTATATTGTCCAGCACTAAATATCAGTAGACTAGGCAACAGAAAAACATCCACCATCTGCCAGGCCCCACCAATAACAACAACCCATGTCAGAGTCTGTCATGTCTGCATCCTGGCAGGACGCTCCTCTCTCTGTGAAGAACACTCACCCAGATTTTGACGATACTCTGACTTGATGCCAATCTGTAGAAGCTGATTCTCAAACAGAACCCCATTGTTCTTGCACACAAACCTGTTGGATGAAGGCGTTTCAAGGGTTAGTCAACACTAACATTTGCTTTGAAAATTGCACTTCTATCATATCCAAAGCAACCCATTATATTGACCCTAAGAAGGGCTTGTTCTGGTCAGTGTGAGTGGTGTCAGATTGACTTATATAAAGTGACTTGATGTATTCAGAAGTGCTTCCAGCAGCCTTATCATTAAATAAAGCTTACAAAGGTTAGTAGCTCCAGTCCAACTGCAAAATTATTATTTTCCTGAAAAACAGTCGGTCAGAAGTTGGACAGCCGAAACAGCTGACCGACTGCATGTATATGCATAGGGAAAAGGAGTGGATTTTGCAGAGACTCCTTAAAACATCAGAATTGGATTATCCAAAAAGTTATAACAGCACTCTGTTTGTAGCTCTGTCAAGTGGATGTTATAGGTGTAATCCTTGTTAAATGTAAGTGCTTATCTCTCTCTTGCTATGGCAAACCCTACAGAAATCAAGTATGGTTTCAGCTAGGCAAACACATGACAAAGTACAGAGAGAGAAAGAACTTACTTGTTAAGAAGTTCGTCTGCCTCAGGCAGAGGAGGAGCAGGATCCTCCGAGGGAGGAGCAGAGCTGAGAGCACAGGACAGGACAGAGGAGGAAGATACAGACAGGACACACAGCCAGGGAGGAGTCAATGGATAGAGTAAAAATGAGGAGTGAAAAAGCATCCATTCACCACAGGGTGCGGCACACAGTGAGATAAAGATTGGTTCATAGAAACAGGAGGAAAAAAAAAAAAAGAGAATAAAATGCAGCGGTGGTTAGTAAAAGCAGTTTGTATAAAATAATATCATTACACATTGAATGGTATCTACTGTTTTAAAATGTCTGTATGTTGATGCTGTACTCAAGCACCTTGAATCAGAAATGGAACAAATGCCTTTGAGATGGGAGTGCAGACTTTCAGCTGATTTGAGAGTTTGTGTATTCAGAACACATTTTGCGGACTCCACTGCACACAGATTTGACGACCTACATAATTGGCCACAGTTTAAAGTGTTTACATGTAGCAATGACTAACCACTTTGAAGAGACTGCATGAAAGTCAACTCTCTCCTCACACACCAGTTCATATGATATGGTATTTCCTTGAGTACAGAGCCCAACAACATTCATTCTGTAATTTTTGCTGCTCACACAAATTTGTTCACATAACTTACAATGTCAGTTACACTCAGCGGCTCAATTAAAGAAGCATCAGAATGCCTTTTAGAAGATGTTATTGATGCAATTGTTAATGTTAGTAGTTCTGACTGCTTTGCAATAATGTTCATTTGAAGATAAAAAGTCTGTCCTAGAAAACCAATGTGTATACTACTATACTTGTATTTCTCTGACACTAGCTAGTTCTGCAGTTTACTACTGGGCCCTTACTCCGAGTCACCAGAACCCTCCACCAATAGGGAGTCACAGGTCTCGGTGGGCTGTTCCAGATCTCTGTCAAAGTCCAATCACGGTAGAGGACAGGAGACAAACACACAGACACACAAACACACAACCCCACACACACAAACAGACAAACACACATACACAAAAACAGACAAACACACACATACATAAACACACACAGAGAGAGAGGGATAAGGAGAGAGGGGAAGGAGAGAAAAAGACGAAAGACAGTCACATACATAGCAAGATAATAAGAAAGTATAGCAGAGCTGCCAACCCTGAAAAAAACTACTACTTCCTGCTCTCTGTAACCCCTGTAGACTGCTTAGAGAATGACAGCCTGCGTGTTCCCCCCGCCCGTGATGATTCAGCTTACAGATCTGTTATGTCCTAACTAGGGTTACAACACATTTTTGTCTTTTACACTCTAAGAACGATAAATTCGATTAAAAACTTTTAAGTAAATGGAAATTAAGTTAAGTAGGGGGCGGCTTCTCTTGGTTTTTCGTGGTGAAAATGGAAGAGATATTCGTCTCTAGGCCAAGACACCAGTGACAGTAAATCCTTATGTTTGCTTATATTAAATGTGGGCTACTTATTATACAAAACCTGACTACTTTAAAAAAGCAGAGCATTATCAGTATCTGAGTATGACTGGCTCTAGGTTGACAGGTCTATATTAGACAAAGATAGAGCAAAGAAAGAGAGAGCCATCAGTGCAGCAATCAGCACAGACACATGTAACATTTTAGCCTTACAGTGCAGACTACACCACAAACATTAACGACTATTTCACTTAACAGAAAAACAACAGAAAAATCAAATTTGTACATCTATCACCATTAGGCGCAAAGGCCTATTCAGCCTAGTCCAGTATGAGAGACACTTTCTGAACATTCTGTGTGTCAAACATGCACTTAAGTAACAGCTGGTTTATCAAATATGATGTCAACTAGAAAACTGATAAGTAGCTGGCTAGATATTCATCCTGGACTTTGTCTAATTCTCAATGTACATATGAAGAAAAAGACCTTTCACCTTAGGAAGCCGTCATCGTTCACAGCAGCAGAAGGTGCAGTAGGCCCTGCCTCAGAGAACACATCCACCAATAGACTGCCAGCACTGGCTGGAGCAGCACCAACAGGGGCAGCCGAACGAATCCCAAGGAGGTCTGCTGATGGTGACGGGGTGGACTGTAAAACGAAGGAAACTTGCAATATAGTATTTTTGTTGCAGCTGCTGGTATACATGAAAGGACGCTAAAAGCAACCATGAAATACTGTTTATAGAGGCTTCACAGAGTCTGCTTACAGCATTGGAGGAAGCCATGGCCGCTGTGTCTGGCCCCCGCTCACCCCCTCCATTCAACTCCCCGCCCTCCCTTTTGCTGTCTTCCAGATCTGTCACGGACACAGTACCGGGCCCCTTCTTCTTCTTCAGCTTAGCCAAGATTGATGACTCCCGCTCTGGGAAGGGAGGCATCTCTTCCAGGACTGTAGCCTGTACAACACAGAGGACACTCGTGCTGTGGGTCCAGACTCAAGAGAGGAGCATACATCAACAAGAACATGACTGCAGGGATTTGGACTGGATCGTCTTAGAAGATAGTGTAATAAACATTTATTAACGATGTCAACCTGTGGTCCTTGAAACGCGAAATCATAATTATTTAACCTGAACTGTGTTGGGGCATACATCAACAAGAACATGACTGCAGGGATTTGGACTGGATCGTCTAAGAACTAACCAGGACATCTGTGCTAGCGATGGAGGAAAGCTTCAGATACTCGACAGCACGCTGCTGCAGCTCAACGTCTGAGTTGCGGATCTGGCTGTCGCAGCGCAGCACCTCCTGGATGGTGGCCTTGGTCTCCGGAAACAGGTTGATGAACTTGATGTAAGCTGACAGCAGCAGGGCGCGGGTCGGCACGGAGCACAGGTGGAACTTGGAGTGGAGAAGGTTGAACTGGACCAGGGGGCTGCATGACAGGACAGCAACATTATTACATATTAATTAAACCGTCACTGTCACAGAGCCCTGGCAGCCAAAAACCAACATACCTGGAGCGTGGGTCTCCAGCAATAAGGTTTCCAAACTCTCCCAGAATGTAGCCTCCAACCTTCACCATGTTCTCATGACAGGCAGGGGCCTGCAGGGCCTGAAAGAGACGATAAATCAACTAACTGTCTTCTAACAATAATACAGCAGTGCTAAATGACACATTTCATATATCCTGATGTCTGAGTTTAAAAATCTCCTATCATGCAAAATGCACATTTGGATGTCTTTAGGCGCTTTTACACCGGAGTACTTTTCCCAGGAATAGTTCCGATAGTTCCTGGGATTTTGCGTTCATACCAAAAAGATCTGGAACAAAGTACCGTAATTTTCGGACTATAAGGCGCACCTGAATATAAGCCGCAGCAGCTAAATTGAATGATGTGTACATATATAAGCCGCAGGTGTTTTAATGTTTAATTACCATATGTAAGGGTTCGTGCAGAGGGGATTGTCGGGAAAGAGATGGCTGTTTGAGGAAGCTCCCATTTATTAACATTTCAACAAACAAGTTGCATATTTGCATAACGTATTCAAGTGTTACCATTTAGTGCAATAGTAGTTACAGAACATGTACTGTGCTGTGTAAACTGTACTGTATCACATAGTGTTTCAGACACACAAACTTTTCAACTTTCAAACTTAAAAACGGTGCGCTCCCAGCGCACGTACCGGCAGTGATCTACAGCAGCGGTTTTCAACCAGTGGTACGGGGACAAACTGTCTCGCTCTCGTAATGTCTGTCTGTCTTGCTCTCGTTCTGTCTCTCGTACCACTCTCGGTTCCACTTTTACTTTTGCGCGCTACCTGTCTCGCTCTTTTCCGGCCTCCAGCTTTTCCTGCTGGAACCCGCCGCTTAAAGGTGGGGGGCGCGGACCGGCCATAGAGCCCATAGAGTTAAAGGTGGTGGACTGTAACCTGTAAAATCCATAGATTTAGGAGGTCCCCTAGTGGCCGTTAGCTGTAAAAATCCATAGATTAGCCGCACCGTTATATAAGCCGCAGGGTCGAAAAATGGGGAAAAAGGCGCGGCTTATAGTCCGAAAATTACGGTAGTTCTTATGTTGTTACTGCTGGCTTTGGGATGGAAAAAGATACCTGTGATCTTTCTTTT